TCAGATTTCTAATATGAAAATGAATTTCAAATGAATCATTTTCTTGCTACTTTCCTAGGGTAGGTTTCTAAATTTCAGCAGGACACCAAAGGCCTTTTACACAAAAGTTAAGAAAGAGCTAAGACTTCTGGCTTATTTTTTGCTGTTACATATGAGGTGCAAAAGAAACTTTTTTCCCCCCTACTTTAATGAGATATAACTGACATACAACATTGTGTAAGTTTAAGGTATACGATGTATTGATTTTATACACTTATATATTGCAAAATGATTACCAATGTGGCGTTAGCTAACACCTCCATTACATCACATAATTACCATTTCTTTTTTGTGGTGAGAATATTTAAGATCTCTTCTCTTAGCAACTTTCAAGTGTATAATGAAGTATTGTTTACTATATTCACAATGCTGTGTGTTAGATCCCCAGAACTTACTCATCTTCTAACTGGGAGTTCGTTCCCTTTGACCAGCATTACCCCATTTCCCTCACCACCACACCCAACTCCCGGTAACCACCATTCTACAAGAAACTCTTACAAAACAAAAAAGAAATGCACAATCAGAGATGAAATAGAGTCGTGAAAAAGGTTCTGAGAGCAGTGGATTTAACCAGAGTCAGCCTATTGAATGTCACACGTGCACTTTGCTTGAGAAAACACGAGGGCAGCCATCATATTTACATGGCACCTGCCCTCCAGAATTAATTCCTTTTACCATCCCATTCAAACACGTGGAAAGAAAGCTTGTCTGGAATGATTACATAAATTAGGTTTAATGAAATGACTTGACTCTACTTCACTCACCCTCAAGTGGTCTTCTTTTTTAACCCCTGCATCAGAATCCCTTTAGTTCCACATGTCATGCATAACATAGAATTAAAATTAAAGAAAAAAGATGAGGAGGCTGCCACTGGCTGTCACATTTTTCCAGTCTCTGATGTGTGAAATATTACAATTACCCTCCCATTCCAATCTATAGGTTCATATGTATGTGTTGTGTGTATGTGTGTGTGTGTGTGAGTGAAAACACTCAGAATATTTAAATTTGGGATAGAGGGTCAAAATAAGATAAAGGACAACTACCAAAATATTGAAGCGATAAGCCAAGGGGAAGTACCAACTAGGAAGTTTTTTTGGATATAAACTCTTTGCTTTTCTAGATTCTGGATGCTTGAACTTCTGTTTCTTTGAGATGCATCCATATGAGAATTTTGATATGGAATACTTGGAGATTATCTTGGAAAGCAGAGGTCGGAGAGCAGAATTAAACCAGGGCTTAATTCTTAACATGAGGTATAAGAGATCACAGTAGAAGGAACGGTGTTTCCCAAGAGGGGTAAGCATGCTGGGCTTGGTGTAGAAGGTGCTGGTACATGGCTGAACATTTTTTATTTCTAATTACTTAATGAACACACAATTATTATGTTTATTTTAACATGTATTAAACTATGACTTCATGCACAATATTTAACCATGTAAATTATGTATATTATTTAACCACACAAACCGTGATTTTATGTATATTATTGCTTGGGATAATAGTGATCTTAAGTTTCCTTAAAATTATTCAAGCAAAAGAAGTGTCAGTTGAATGGTAAATATTCAGTAAAAATGTACAGGTGACACACAAAGATGGCAAAATTCGTGAAAGAGGTGTATGAATGACTGAGGTTTGGGATATGCTAGGTTAAAGAATTGGACATATTCTTTTAAACTAAACACTTGCTACCTGTTATTGCCTTACGGTGGAAAGTGCCAAGGAAGCAGAGTTGCATACGTTATATGTTTTTAAAATGCATGGGATGAATCTATCCTGAGCATCACCCTATTTCCTGTGCTAAATCAACCATTGCAGTCTAGACGGTAGGGAGAAGCTGTGTTTGTTCATGACTCCTGGAGGAAGGTAACGTGGCATGGAGCAATATCTGTAGTGCACGATCTTTCACAACAGCGCTGTGCAAAGTGGAAACACGAAACAGTCAACACTGTACGACTGAACCAGGTCTAGGGACCTGGAGAGCCCCACTGCACCCACAATAAAGTAGTTCCCCATTCTACTGTCCTCAAGCAACCTAACGGCCGTTCTTTCTGCTGAGCTAAATGCAGCATCTCCCGGCAGGTTTATTGGCTTGGCCAAGTTGAAAATTTTATTACGCAGAAGTTGAGAAAGAGCAACACTGAAGAGAGCTAAAAACAGTGCACTTTGCTACTGTGTAGTATCTGTATTTGGGGCTCAGGCTGTTTTATTTATAGATATCTATTAATACACAGCAAGAGATACAGAAAGAAATACATAAAGAATAGCTTTATCAAATAGTTTCCAGTGTCCAAGTGTAACCTCAAAAGCAAGAACAGCAACAACAAACTGTTCTGTTGGGGAAAAAAGCCCTCTTCTTATGTCTTCTCCTTCCCTTCCCTTTCCTCTCTGAGGAGGACTGTGGCTGCAAGAGTCTTCCCCTTGCTAGATCTTGGAGGGGTGGGGTGGGAGGCTGTGGAGGGAGGTGGAATCTCCACCTTGATTTCTTTTTCCAGCTCTTTTAATCTCATCTGTCCTACCTCCCTCTCTAGCTATGCTGCAAATGGAGGAGAGGTGGGAGCATCCAGCCTGTAAAACTGGTTTGTTGGGGTTCTCTCTCCCTCCTCCTCTTGCTTCTTGGGAAAATTTCTTGCTGGGCAGCTGCCTGGCAGTGCCACGGCTGCCTTCTCTGGGCTTGAAAGGGGCTTCCCTTTCCTCCCTCAGGAGGCAAAGGGGCTGCTGCCAGAGGTGGAAATGGAGAGATGGAGGGAGAAGGCAGATACCACCACTTCCCCAAGACATACAAAGAAAGAGAAATAAAAACACACACATGTACACACGCACACACATGCGAGTGGGCATGTGGGAAACTCAAGATTCAGAGAGATAAGGGCAACATGGTACTTGGAACAACGGGACCCTCCCAGGTCTGAAATCCTGTGCATTTATTTTAACAGAAGGTCTGGGGTGAAGGGTGGGGGCGATGGGGGGTGGATCACGGCTGCCCACCTTTTGTATTTATAATTCAAATGCATTCACAGGATGACACAGACAGGAGAGAAGAGGGAGAAGTGTGGGAAGGTGTGTGAGCAGTTTCATTTTGCTTTACTTCCCCACCTGACGGTTGGGTGCTGTGGGCACCTGCAGGGAAAGCCTCACCACGGTGGGGGTGGTGGTGGAAAGACGGGCTTCCCTGCTGGACCTGGAGAGACTAGGGAAGGTGGGGGTGGCGGTCATTTCCGGGAGGAGCTCAAGACACGTTGGTCTTGACTGTGGCCAGTGTCTGGTCAAAGTTGCCAGGAGGTTAAAAAAAAAGGGTAGGGGGAATCTCTGCCGAGATGCATTTCCTAGGACACTTTTCCCTCGCTGGGGGAAGATGGATCCTGTGACTGTGACATCAGCTCTCCTCTGCTGTCCCTGTGGTCTGCTGGGGGGAGGAGGTGGGACACGCTGGCCAGAGCTGAGGTGGGCAAAGCTGGCTTCCTGCTTGGTGCCCATTCTTACGGGGAGCTGTGCCCTCCTCAGTGCCCAGGGCTGGGCTGAGGTCTGCATACAGAGGAGGCAGAGGGCCCAGACAAAGGCCCCTGGGGATGCGTGGAGGCCTCTCTGGGTATGGGTGTCAGGGAGAGGGCTCCTGCCTCACCCCCAACTCCACCTCTTGCTACAGTGGCTCTTTTAGGGGACAGATCTCATTATGGTTCTGACACTGCTACTGTCACTAACCAACAGTACTGACAGTACCATCTCCCCAACTGTGACTTCCAGGGAGGTCCAGGAGGCCCAAGAGTGCCCACGTCCACAGTGGCGGTGTTGGGATAAAATCTGTCCTTTAGATTCTAGAGGTGAAGGGTAAGCAGGAAGAAGGAGGAGAAAACGTTTCCGTGGGATCCTCTTGAGTATTGGAAATAGGTCCACATTTGAACACCCCCTCCCACTCCTGGGGGGTTGGGGGGGGTGATTGGAGTAAAATAAGATGAGGAAATAGAGGAAGCATCTATTTGATGGCGTCTCTAGGTGCTAGCTACAGACTCATCTCTTTCCTGTGCAGGGAAGATGCTCTGAATTTATGCCACAGGCCTTACTCAGTGCACCGTGAAAACTTGAGTGGAGCACGGAAATTCTGGCTGCCTCAGTGTTCTCACCTCAAAAGTGACGCTAATTGAAAAAGCCAACGTGTTCCATTTATGTTTTGTTTCATACATTACAGCATGTTGTCATCTCTGCTGTAACTGCCCTGTGGGTACCTCAGGGGATATTTCAAGGTTAAATAGACAGGTAATTGCTTTGAAAATGTAAACACGTTATTAAACGTGAGGTATTATCTGATCCCTTTATTCAACACGGGCATTTCCCCCTTCCCAATGCCACCCTCAGTGCATATTTACCTAACCCTCCCCAAGAACACCCCTTCGCCCTGAATGAAGACGCCAAAGGAAAAACAGACCCCGAAAAGGTGTCCCTGTGTAGGGAGTAAATGGAATATTCTGAAGGGCATCCGCCTTTCTTATGTGAGGCGCCATTCCGTGCCCTTCCTCAGCTCCCACCTCAGGTTGCGTTTCATTCTGTTATTCGGAAGCCAAGACTTACTTTTTGTCTCTATAAAACATCCGCCCCTGTAGCTCTTCACCACCCCCTGGCGTTCCTCTCTCGCTATTTCTTAAGACTGGTGCTATTGAACAGGGGCGAGGGGAAAAAGGGTGGGCACAGAAAAAAGCTTAGGGGGGTTCTAATCGTCCTATTGAAAGGATTGGGTGTGTGCCTGAAAGGGCTCTATTTTTTTTTTTGGTTTAAACTTCCCTTCCTTGCCATTCCCTCACTGATCTTTTCCACTGTGAACGCAAAGAACTTGAGCCAAAAAGACTTGGGGGAGGGGGCTCGAAGTAAGAGAAAGGGCAGTAAGGGTGCTCGTTGATCTGCCAAAATACTTTGACCCCAAGTCGGGGGAAGTGAAGAGGGAGAGCGCTCCCCTGTTTGATCAACACTAAAGAAATCGGAGAGACATAAAAGGAAAATGAAGTGAACAACAATTAAAAAAATTCCCCGCTCACAACAATACAATCTATTTAAACTGCAGCTCATACTTTTCATACCAATGGTATGACTTTTCTGGAGTCCCTCTTCTGATTCTTGAACTCTGGGGCTGGCAGCTTGCAAAGGGGAAGCCGACTCAAGCGCCGCACGGGCAGGTTTACCAAAGGTCTCCAGTGGGTATTTTCTTTTTCTTAGCCCTGCCCCTGAATTGTCAGACGGCGGGCGTCTGCCTCTGAAGTTCGCAGTGATTTCCTTTAGAGCCTGGCCTTATCTCCGGCTGCACGTTGCCTGTTGGTGACTAATAACACAATAACATTGTCTGGGGCTGGAATAAAGTTGGAGCTGTTTACCCCCACTCTATGGGGGTTCAGTATAAAAAGGCGGCGGAGAGCTGTCCGAGCCAGACGCGCTTCTGCATCTGCGCTGGCGCGAGCGCCGAGAGGGTCCTCGCGTCTCCGCCGCTGTCTCCGCGCGCCACCGCCGCGTGCGTCTCCAGACCGCTCCCGCTGCCTTCTCTCCCGGCAGAAACTTATTTTTCTCCCCGTTAGAGAGCACTTAGGCTGAAGGAGCGCTTTGAGAGCTGAATAACCAGAAGCGCTTGGAAGGAGCTGAAGCTGTTTTTCTTCGTTTTCCTTGGGTTTAGCTCGCAGGGGAGAATTTTGATCCCTTTTTCAGAATGGATTATTTCCCCATGATTTTCTCTCTGCTGTTTGTGGCTTTCCAAGGAGCTCCAGAAACAGGTAGGCACGTCGACTTGTAAATCGCTGAATGTTAACGTCTTCTTATGCACCTTCATGCTTTTCTTGCTTCTGTTTTTCCCTCTTTTTATTACAGCAGCTCAGATTTCAAGTGTCTGGGAATTATTGCTCAAAGCTACTTAAGTTTTCTAGTGGAAAAAAAAATTCCTCTATTGAATACAGTTGCTCCTCTTGCATTAAGATAACATTGCTATTGTTGCGTAGTGTATTTCTTTGGCTTTTAGAAATATAACTCAAGAAAAGACAAGACAGAGTTTAGCCAAATGTATATGTGCAATATATGTGTTCATACGGGTAATAGGACACAGAGAAACTCATATCTTATTCAAATACTGCTTTAATGTTGTGTTAATGTGTAAAATATTTAAACATTTCAGCTTGAAGCCAAGGAATTTTATTCAAGTCATTCAAGCAATATATGAGCAGTAAAATCACCTGCAGAACAGTCTGCTGAGTAACCCCCCAGGCGGTTTCAGGGTGAAGCAAATGTTTTCTTTAAAATTTGTCATTATTGACTTTAGGTTTCTTTTGGCAGGTTTTTGGCACCCAAAACAGTGTGAGCTCTATTTTCAGTTTTACTCACCTGTCCTGGGAGGGGAGCTGGGATAAATCTTGACTGCTTGAGGATTTAGATAGTATGTGTGCATCTGCCCCTTTCCCTCTTTTAGGGTCAATGCACTTTTTTTGTCTTTTCTTGACCCTTACTAAAGAGAAAGGATGTCAAGGGAATGAAAATCCTGGAATGTGTCTGATCATTTGAAATGTACAAAATTGGGCAGATAAGCTGCATGGCTAACTTGTCAGGGAGAAGAGGCGATGGTGCAGTGGGGACGGGGGAGGCAGTGAATCCCACACGTGCTGTGCTGCTCCCGGGACTCTGAATTCAAAATCCACAGAACCCTGACTAGGTCCCCCGAGCTGCTGCTCAGCCTCACCCTAGGTCAGTGGTTTCCGTGGGTTGATCTCCTGAAATGACTTGTGGAGCTGATTTCTCTTCTTTTTCTCCAATCATCTCCCCAAAGCTCTTGACCTCCACCTGTTTCAAGGAGTATATATCATCCGGGCGACTCCCCTGCCCCACACTAGGTCTGAAGTGGTGGGTGCTCCCCTAAATGGAAGGTCATCCTGCATGGAAAAGTGGCTCTGAATCTAGGAAGAGGTAGTGATTTATTTAGTGTTAGCCAATTTTAGGCCACTGTAGGTTGTGCTGTCCTACTAAGTTCCATGCAGAAGCCAACCCAAATTTCTAGCAGGCTGCATTTCCAAGCATTTCCTTGAAGGCTGCTTCCAGGCGGCTGCTAAGTCCCTTTTCAAGTGTTTGTTTCCATTGCACTTGTATAATCTCTCTGATGGTGGATAAGCCAATGGAGGTAAAGGAGAAGTCATGCGAAGGAGGAAAAACTAAAGTCTGTTTTTCCCTGTGTTTCTTGCTGAAGGCAGGCTGTATGCTTCATGTGCTTTTATCTGCTCTGCTAGGTCTGGCATCAGTACTGTGATCCAGCGCGCCTCGGGGCCTCTGAGGAGACATCTCCCTCTGACCTGCTCTTTCTCTCCCCAGCGGTCTTGGGCGCAGAGCTCAGCACAGAAGCGGATAGCGGAGGCGAGAAGGCCTCTCCCAGTGCACCCTGGAGGCCCCGCCGGTCCAAGCGCTGCTCCTGTTCCTCCTTGATGGATAAAGAGTGTGTCTACTTCTGCCATCTCGACATCATCTGGGTCAACACTCCCGAGTGAGTCTCTAGAGGGCATCGTAACTCTAGCCATTCCCTAGCTCTGGCTTCGCCAGAGACTGGAGCCCAGTTTCTCTAGTCACTTTTTGGAGGAGCTCCTGGTTTGGATTCTGAAGGTAGCATTTCTGACGGCATGAAAGTGCCTCAATGGGGCCAATGCCCCTCTGTTCCTGAAAAGAACAGCACAGCTTGGATCTTAGCAACAGAGGAGAGAGTCTTCTGAGGCCTGTGGCTCAGACTACTCATGACAGGGTAGATGGAAAGAGCTGACCGCAGGCAGGAGCTCCCTACATTTCTGAGGAGAAACTTTAAGTGTGGGGCTTTGTGGGGAATGTTCTTTCAGTGGGATCTGCCTGAAGTTGCTGAGTTCATATGTGGGTTAGCCCAACCTGTGCTCCTGATGGGAGGGCAGAGACTGAAGAGGCAGAAGGGCTTATAAAGAGTTATAATCCAATCCCTTCATTTTACCTATTAAACAAACCTAAGACCCAAAATGTTGAAGTCACTTGTGCAGGAATGAGTTTATGGCAGAGCTGGATCTAGAACCTGGATGTCCTGACTCCTCTGTCCTTCCCTTTAGGAAAGCCCATTTCAAGACAGCAATAGAAACATGGTCTGTACATTTCTCTTCTGCCTCCAGAGTGAAGAAAGCTGTTTTCCCCCTTTCACTCTGAAAACTAGTTCACCCATCAGAAGCAGTGGTAAACAAAAACATCCCTCCCATTATGGCGAGGGATGACCAAAATGCAAACAAAATCAAATCAAACTAAACAAAACCCACAAGGAGCCTAATACTTAGTAAGGTGATACCTCCAAGGGCAGGACTTGATTCCTTAGGTGAGAATCAAAATGGACACACTAGAGATTACTGGAGAGCCTTCTAGCAGTGAGTCCTTCCACAGTCATATGATATCATCAAATTGCAAGAGATGTGCAAACCTGGGCGTGAACTGTACACGCAGTAGTGTGTCTCCCCCGCCCCCTCAGGGGCACATTTAACATTATCATATATGACTCGAATTGAAAATAAGTTTCAAAATCTTGTGAGTCATGGTTTTGCTTTGAGGTTCCTCCCCCACAAATAGCTGTTAACGAAATAGAACTCTAGAAAAGGGAGAAAATATGAAACAGATACCAAAGGAGAGACGTTATAACTTTAGACAAAAAACAATGCTGCTTGTGTTGAGAAGAAATTGAACTTGGTAAGAGTTGAAATGGAATTTCATTGAGTTAGAAAAACCGGTTTTCTCCCAGTTGGGTACATTCACTCAGGGCCATTGGTGGGCATGTGATCCCAGCTGTTGAATCTCCTAAGTTTCACTACCAAGCGCCGTGTGGTGAGCTCCTTGTGTCCCAATGGAATGAGTTTGCCCCATGGAATGCATCATTTGGAAGACTAATAATTATGCTAATATCTTTGTTTCTCTCTTTTGATAATAGGCACATTGTTCCATATGGACTTGGAAGCCCTTCTAGATCCAAGCGATCCTTAAAGGATTTATTTTCTACAAAGGCCACAGACCACAGGACTAGATGCCAGTGTGCTAGCCAAAAAGACAAGAAGTGCTGGAATTTTTGCCAAGCAGGAAAAAAACTCAGGTGAATAGAAACACTTTGCTTTCGATCAGTTTTACAGCCTCCTGACCTCCTTCCTGTTATGGGGCTGCCTTCTTGTTTAAGAGAGATTAACAGAGACATTGAGAACACCTGAAGGTACTGTTGCTGAAATGTTTTTCCCTGTGTGTATTTTAACAGGAACCAAGACACTATGGAGAAAGGCTGGAATAACCAGAAGAAAGGAAAAGACTGTTCCACGCTTGGAGAGAAGTGTAGTCATCAGCAGCTGGCGGAAGGAAGAAAAATAAGAAGGTAAGAGGCTTCCACAAACAGCCAGCCCCCATCACCAACGCTAATGGTCTAATCCCCTGGTTATTCTAACCTTGATGGGAAAAGGGCTTAGAAGGAAATAACAAAGGGGATCTTCATGTTCTATAGCTTAAAAAGAGCAAAAGGAATCCCTCTCAAATATTTTCTTGAAGGCCTTGAATGCAGACTGTTGCCCACTGTACACTTTAGTGATCTTTAGCATATAGCCCTCAGTCTAAAGGTAGATTTTCCCAACAAGTTATATCTAGAGATACCTTTGTCGTTTAGTCATATCCAGTCTGTGCCTCTCCGAGTCAATATATTTATTGCTTTCCCTGAGAAATTAAAAATCATTTCAGGGAGAGTTTTTTTTTTTTTTTTATCAAATCAAAATGTCATGTATAATCAAGTTCTTCAAAAAGTAGCAGTTATTCGAATGGCCACAGGGAAAATAAAGTCATTAGGTAGGGTTGGTGAGAGTTAGAACATGCTGTTTTTTGGGTTTATTTATATATTTTTTTAATAGGGAAATGCATTTGGTGGAGAGCCAATGTCATTCCAAAATCTCTCTCTTTTTCTAGTCAGTCGTGAGCTGGGGCAGAGAAGGATCTGGATTAGGCAATACCGTAGGGTTGCTAGGAGCAGCTCAACAGTGATGTTTTGGAATTCACAAGCTGGAGGGAGGAAAGCTCCTTTTAGATCTGTCACATGTTCTACCTTTCCCTATCATGGTCAGTGGAAACTTTTCCTAGAAATCCAGGGGCAAGAAGTTCCGTGATCAAAGTGTTCTGAGCACAGGCCTGGCAGTCATGAACCACCTCTGAGCCGTTTACTGCTGATGCATGAGCCATCCTCAGCTGTCTGTGACTTCACACTTGCCAGTGCCCTTTTCATATTTATGATCTCAGGCCACAAATGCTCCCCCAGATTACAAGATTATGTAAACCACAGTTTCTGAACTGACTCGGAAATTATTATTTTTTTCTATTAGTTCCTATTATATCAATTATGAAATCAACATTACAGTTCTTCCCTCTTTCTTTCTCCTGCAAAGAGAAAACATTAAACCTGCAAAAAAATTTTTTTTTAATTATCATAGAATATTTGCTTTGGGCCTTCCTGTACACCTCCTCTGTTTTTATTTCTTTTCCACTAAGTCACCTTTAATTCCTTTTGTGATTAAGAAGACATAGATGACTATTTGAAACCTATGCTGTATTAGTTTCTCCATAGAGTCGCATGGTGGTGGTGGTTGGGCTGGAGCTACAGAAGAAAAGAGAGTATCTCTAGTTTACCTTAAAATTGTATTTGATGCCCAACTCCCTTTAGATATGACCATAGCACCCTTCCTCTTTGCCCATCCCCCTCCATTCTAGGCATACGAGGCAGGCTTTGTTTTCACTTGAGGTTAGCGAAGAGTAGCATGCTGTTGCAGCTGGTGGTGAAAGTTCAGGAACTAGACTTAGATTTGTCTGTGCTGGATTCTAGCCTTAGGTGTTTCTTTTGCCCAGAAAGGATTTTTTTTTTTAAGCTAACGTTTGTTTTCTCTTGTCTTGTTCTAATAGGTTGGAGGCCATGAGCAACAGCATCAAAGCATCTTTTCGTATTGCGAAGCTGAGAGCTGAGCTCTACGGAGAGAAGAAGGTGACCCACAACCGAACACATTGATTCCAGATCCTCGGGGCCTGTCTGAAGCCGCCTCCTCCACTGAGAGCCATGTGCCTGACTCTCACTCTCTCCACACCGGCTGGGATCAGAGCAAAAGCATCCTCCCTGCTTAGACCATTTCATGTTCCAGACTGGCAAAGGATCAGCGTCCTAGTTCTAAACATTCCAAGAAAGGTTAAGGAGTCCCCCAACCCGTCTTCATTTGCTTCCATCAGTGGTAACTGCTTTCGTCTCTCCTTGTTGGGGGCGACAATGGACCACTCAAAGAAAGCAGAGAGACACAGTGACCCGCCAATTAGGGTGGCATCCTCCAGAGGGAGGCAAGGAGATTCCACCTGCTGGTGGGGTTCCTGAAGAGGATCCCAAGGGAGTGTTTGTGTCTCACTCAGGCGCCTGGCACATTTCAGGGAGAAGCTCCAAAGTCCACGCAAAGATTTTCTGAGGAATGCACAAATTGAAGACACTCGAAGGACAAACACTCGAGTAAAAAAAAAAAAAGACTTTGTTCTTTTAATTCATAAAATGCAAAACTTAAAGAAACTGTTACTACTGTAAATCAGGATGTGTTTCATGAATGAGTCTACCTCACCCACCTATATTGCACTCTGGCAGAAGTATTTCCTTTAATTATTGCCTCCTCAAACTCTTCCCCCACCTTCTGCTCCCTCTCCCAACACCCCCATACTAAATCCTAGCCTCATAGAAGTCTAGTCTAATGTGTCAGTAGTAGATATAACATTTTCATGGTAGTCTACTAGCTCTGATCCATAAGAAAAAAAGATAATTAAATCAGGAGATTGCCTTACCTTGATTTTTGGAAACACAATGGTATAGGGTTGGTTATGAAAGACATTGAAGAGTAAACATTGGTTATGCTTTAAAGCAGTAAAATTATTTTCCTTTACATAACTGGCTAATGGAAGAGGTTGGATTAAATTTGGATGTACTTATATTTTTATAGATATTTATATTCAAACAATTTATTCCTTATATTTACCATGTTAAATATATGTTTGGGCAGGCCATATTGGTCTATGTATTTTTTTAAAATGTATTTCTGAATGAAATTGAGAAAATGCTTTGTTTTGCCTATCAAGGTAACGACGTTAGAAAATAAATATTTTTTTCCCTACTGTACTGGTTTTGAATCACTTCTGAAATTCCCAAGAAGTGGGCCAAAGTGGTAAGAATTATGTAGGGGAATGGTTAAAGATGGTTTCTTAGAAAGGTGACAGTTGAAAAGAAAATAGTCTTGGCTAATTAAAAAAAGAATTTGGTCTATATCTTAAAAGTTGCCTTTAGACTGCATTAATGTAAAAACAAAACGAAAAACCAGCTTTAACGCCTCTGTCATTCCCTGCCTCGCAGCCTTCTGCTTCCCCTTCACCTGAAAACTCTCCAAGGACTTCATCCATTAACTCTGCATAGGCTGTTAGACAGGATCCAGCAGTTTAAGCTGATGGTGTGGTGAGAGGTGCTTTCTCCATATTAATGGACTGAAGGAAGCAATGGCAAGGTGACCTCTCAAAATGTACCTAGTTATACACAGTTCCACAGAGTTGCTTTGAGGAAATGGCCTGCTCAGAGGAAGGAGGGGTGCCCAAGCTCTTTTTATTTGCTCAGATCAAGAATTTTGTTTATTAAGGAACAATGAGTACCTTTGCTTCTTCATGGTAGCCCAAGCCAGACACAAGCCCGTGGAGGTAGAGATGCCCAATGCTGATTCTAGGTCTCTTGCGTCACAGCACCATCCTCCTCTCCACGTTGCCTTGGCTGGCCTTGCCAAACCACTGGGGAGAATAGTATTGTGAGTGGTTGTTACCAACAGAAGCCCGTAAGAGCTTGATCAGCTTTCGAGAATCTTGACTGCCCTTCTAGCAGTGTTGAAAAGAATGTCTGGCATTCAACAAATGTTAGCTCATGGTGATCACTATTGTCCAAACAGTGGCACATCTGATGGATGTTAAATAACAGTCTTCAGGTGTGCGTAGCGAATGTCCTGGGCAGAGTTTCTATCCTTATTAGCATTGTTTTTCATCTTCCACATTTTTTTTAAGGGACAGTTCAATGTCTTTGGGGCATTGCTTATAAAGCTCACTTTATCTAGCAAGCTCTTTATCAGTACCTAGTTCTCATATGGATTGTGGAGCTGCTTGGCCTGAACTTGGCCACTACTTAATCTTGAGCAACTTTTCAATCCCCCTGCATAATGAGTTTCCTCATCTGTTAAATGAGGAAGTGGGGGAACTTCTCTAGTAGCTCTAAGAGAGAGTCTGAGATCACCTGAAGAAGCTGTGGTGGTACGAAAGAGTGACGGTCTGAGCTTGGAGGACGTGGGTCGAATACATTTAAGGAGGAGTTGGGAGGGATGAGAAGAAGCCACTGAGGAAAAGAACAGCATAGCATGCAAAGGCAATAAGATTTTCTTTTTCTTTTCTTTCTTTCTTTTTTTTAAATTTTTCTTATTTAGCTCTTTAAATCCTCTTGCCCCATGCTTCCTGCTTCAGTAACTGGCAAGAAAAGAAAAAGCATGAATGCAGCTCTCCTAGGTCATGAGGGTCAGTAGTAAAATAACCTGGAAGGTTCATAGGAAATAAATATTTTCCAAGTTTGTAGAGGAAAGATTCAATATTATTCAAAGCTCATGCCAGCTTGAGGGGTGACCTGATGGGACGGTCTGTCACATTTCCTGCTGTTTTTCCAGTAAAAGCATGGTTTCTGGAAGCCCACTTAGGACAGATTTCTCTCTTCACACTAACAGCTAGGCAAAGCTTTGATCTCAGGACTCCAAGGACCAGAGGATCCTGGTCTGGCAGTAGTGATCTTTGGTGGAGGGAGAGGAGCCCACTTATGGGTACTTCGTTTTCTCCCCCAGTGATTGTCATCTTTTGTGATGGAAACCATTGGCTTTAATCCTGCCTGTGCTTCCCTGAAATACTCAAGGTATTATACTGAGCTAGAGTTCCCTCAGGAAAACTCTTCATAGCATTGAGCAAGAGGAATCTTTTGTCTTCCCAATGAAAAAACCAATGCCCAGAGAGGGAAGTGACTTACCTAAGAAAACACAGCAAGCTGTAGCATCTCTGGAGTCTGAACACTCGAGCACTGCTGAGAGCCACCTGGAGGTCAGTGGAGACAGATGCCCAAGCAAACCTTAATAGAGGGTTCTGAGTGATAGAGGCAGAATCACTCTTCTTGAAAGTTTTGCCTTCCAGCCTCACAGATGATGGTTGGCAGATCCCTTCTCACAGGATGAAAGGGAAGAAATGGAGGGGAAGAAAAAAGGGATGTAAGGAGGCGTACCAATCTCATGGCATCCTGGAGTGATTTTCTATAGGATTAAATAGACTATAACTAGGAACTTTTAATTATTATTATTTTTTTAGAGTTTAATTACCAAATAATCCTTACATAATATGAGTGATGGGGAATGCTTTTGGTCGGTTCTCTTACTATATGGTGCAAGGCAGTGTTTTTATTTTTGTGTCTAAAGACTTGAAAATGCTTATTTTCAAGCCCAAGATCTCAATGTATAAAACACTTTGTTTTCAAGCCCATGTGTTCAGTGGAGCTCTTCTCACCTCACCTTTCTCTCACCTTTGCCCCCACAGTTCCTGGGATCCTTGGTCAGGGCTCAGGATATATCTACTACAAGTGACGTATGAATCTTCTCATAACATTAAAATTTCACAGCGACCCCTCATCTTTGTAAAGAACTAGATTTCCCATAGCATTTCACATCCTTCTCGCATTTGACCCTCTCCTTCAATAATCTTTTCAAGATGTTGGGACAACGTTTTTATACCCATTTGACAGCCGAGGGAACAGACATATTGAATGAGTAAGTGACTTGTCCAGACTCCTCCATCAGGCAAATAGCAATACTGGAACTCAGGACCCCTGACCCCTTCCCCTTAAACTGCCTCAGAGCAGAGGCGAGACCACTAGGCCCAAAGCTTGGATAAATGTAGATTATTTCCATCTTGCCAGCAAGCTATGGGTGGAATTAACTTTTTATTACTCTCTCAGTAATATCAGTGTTACACATGTGCCCCTGAGCCCTAGTCTGATCGTCATCCTGTAGCCCTAGCTACATCATCCTTATTACGCCAAAGCATGATTGGCAGAAAAATCTTGACAATTTACCATGCCTGCCTCCAAATCTGGTGCCATGGAGTGCTTCCTTGACAACCACTGGCAATAGATCTAACACACGGCAAGAAACTGTAGTGACGAATGTGATGGCAGAAGCTAACATTTCCTCAAACTCTGGGCAATAATCAGAGAAAGATCTAGGGCTGGTGCCAGCGGATAATGAAGAGAGAAGGGCCTCGGCCTTGGGGATGCTGACTGATGGAAATGATGGGTCCTGAGCATGACAGGCTGCTCACAGCTCAGAGAGGCAGCTCATCGGGAATCTGACACACGGTTTTGTTGGTTCAGAGTCTTGTGTGTTTCTGCAGCTTATTCTTCTCTTTCATATTCTGAGTCATTCCAGGCCTCCACCCTACACTGCGGAAGGGTGTGGAAGTATCCAGGAATGAAATTCGCAATATTAAGCTACCACTGGCATGCCATGAGCACTGACCAGGACAGAGCCGTGGGGCCGGTTCCTGGTGGTCCCCAGCTGGGCCAGATGTTTAACCTCCAGGTGTTGGTTGTGGGGAGGTCCAGTGGTCTGGGGAAGGGGTGGGCAGCCAGGGTGGAATTTCCAGGCTTCTTGCTGCTATGGCTATTTACCAACCAGTATGAAAGCATTTCAATATTTTAAAAACTGAAATAGTCTCACTGGTACACGCCTCTGTGTATGTCAGACTTGGAAGTGTCAAGCTCTCCTCCACTGGGTAAGTTATCCTCTTATCAGCCTCACCGAGTGGGATCACATTGTCTCATGCTTGCTGAAGCTTATTGCCAAATCTTTCTGTCCCTGTACCTTTGTTGTCCTGCTGCATTGTCATCCCTCCGCATCGCCCTCTCACCTTCCACGTTCCCCAAACTCATGCTCCAATCTCCTTTGGTAGAAGTGGAAATACTCTAAGGTATTCTTTGTCTCCTTGGAGGTTTTCAGCAAGGGCTGAACTGAGCAACTTTATGGTTGCTCAAACTAAGGTTTACCTTAGACCAGGACTTGCTGGGGTCCTAAATCTGCTCTAGGATTGTCGTGAAGAAGGAGCTGCTTGTAAGGTTGGGTCTTGCCCTCTCAGATTAACTCTGGAACGTGAAAGGGTGGCTATATAATTTATTATTAAAATGGAGACATTTTTTATAGTGCTTGGTGACACTCTTAGTAATGACCAGAGGACCACAGACTATCATGGGCAAATTGGGACAGATGATCACCCTAGACCAGGACAAACCTTGAAGCAGGTCAGAATCTCGGAAGCACCTTGATCTCTTAGAGATGACCTGGACCTTGGCCGTTTAAGCAGACTCAATGTCTATGTCTCTTCATCTGCAGACCTGACTATGGCGGAGGATTTTTACCTTCT